GAGCCCTGTCACCCTTTCAGTGGTTGGATGTGGCCTGTGTGCAGGAGGGGGATGGGAGCAGGGGGGATTCCCTGTGGAAATCACAGACCTCTACCCTGTGAGGGTCTGCCCCAGCCTGAATGGGACTTTCTGAATGATAGGGTCAGTGTGGATTATGGGATCAGCAGGATCCAGAGACTGCTCTGGTTTAAATGGCTTTAAGCTCATAGATTTGATGGCAGCACTGCTGCCACAGCCCAGGTGAGATCCCTGGGCCTCGGGGCAGGAGGTGCATCCCACTGCACTCTGGGCACCAGGTGAAACCCAGTGTGTCTCCAGAGGCTCCAAGGCTTCCCTTAGGGTACCAGTGGTGATGGGTATGGAAATGGTGCTGGCTTAATGCCAAGAAATTCAGGCTCTTTTTGCAGACATTCTCTCCCAAAGCTGGGTGAACCTGAGCTGGGCTCCAGCACTGGTGTGGGCAGGAGGCCACTGGAGCAGGAGCTGACACATTTCAGTGAGTTGGGGATTTCTTCGAAGGAAGTGGTTTGAATCCCATGAACCTTTCAGGGACATGATGTGAAAGGATCTTTAACACCGAGTTCCTTGAGTAAGTTCAGCGTGTTCCCAGATAAACAAAGAGAAGGGAACAGAAGAAATGATCTTGATACGTGAACTCTTGGAAATTCTCTTTCTGCTGTGAATGCTGTCTAGAGCTTGAGGCTTCAGGTTCCAAGTTGTTCCTCCTTTCTCCATTTGTCCACGTACAAGGTGGCTTCGCCAGCTCCTTTTCTCCTTCCAGTAACACTCTGGTGACTCAGTTTCCAAAACATCCCCCAGCCATGGCCCAGCCCTGCACAGAGCCCAGGCAGTGGGCTCATGTGCTGGGGCAGGAATGCTGGGACTGACCATGGGCTGCAGTTGTACTTTTCATTTTTTATTTACTATGATCAATCTGAGGACTAGTTTTGCCATTTGATTTTATTTTTTTTTTTAACTAACAGAAAGAATTACCACGGGCAGAGCACAGTTCAGGTGGGTGATGTGATGGGTGACACGACATTATCCAGGAGTGTAACTGTGTTAACCCAGTCCACACAGCATGTTCAGATGGAGGTATGTTACCCCTGATAAGTGAACTCAGTAACACAATGAATTTTGAGTAAGTTTTGGGTCCACATAATTCTGTGCATTGCTGGTCTTTCCAAGTTTGTCTCCAAAGCCTTGTTGCCTTCAGTACAGAACATTTTACAATATTGACTCTGTATTCCTCTGGAAATCAGCACAACCAGCTGGTGAGCCATGGAGAAAGCTGATATCTGACTTGGGGATTTAATCATGTGCACATTTGAGGAAGACACAGAAAACTTGTAATTTACTCTGGCCTTCATGTATTCCCAGGCCTCATATAAGGCCCAGAGCCCTCACAGCTCTGTGTTCCACATAGAGACACCTCCTCCAGGAAGGTGTGTGTGTGAGACTGCTCATCTCTGTGGTTCTAGTGAATTTACCAAAATTGGCCTTCTTGCAGGCTGAGTGTAGCACGTGAGGACTAGGAAAATTTCTAGGATAAAGAGAAATTCCCATGCAAGAGCAGCCAGATAAAATATCCCGGCTCTGCAGCCTGCAGTGCCTGCTGTGGGCCACAGCCATACACAGGAGTTCATGGGCAGCTGCAGCTCCATCTGCAAAGCCATGGCCTGGCCTTGACGTTTTGCCAGACCTCTTGTGTCATGGGGACCGTAAAGTTGGGATTCCAGATAGCTATTGGAAAAACAGCTATTTCAGATTCAGCAGTGAACCAACATGCAATTAAATTTAGCTTTATGTAGTGTTTGTGCTTTTGATTATCCCAAAGCATGTGTTTTTAAAATAAGAATGTTTCCAGCTCTATGGCATCTCTGAATGTTTAAAGCTGGAAGGAGCAGGGGATGACTCAGAAAACCCTCTGATTCTCACAGGATTCTTTGCTTTAAAATCACGTGTTTGGGTTTTAGTTGTGGGGCAACTGCAGCTTTGCCTGAATAAGGACCGAGGGGTTACAGGGGACCATGAGCATCTCTGGCTGCTGGGGGCCAGTGCCCAGACCTGACAGGATCACCCAGGGAAGGGCACCAGGAGCTGGCTGTTGTCCTGAGCTCCCACATCCCATTTGGTGTAGGTGGCACATTTTGCCGTGGCAATTCCCTCCACTCTCTTCCCACTACAGAGGAAGGGAAGGGCATTAAAACCCTATGGCTGGATCCTTTTATCTGACCCTGACCAGACCCAGCCACGGCCACCCAAAGCCCATGGAGAGGGTCCATGGGACCAAGCTCCAGCAGTGGGGCTGCCTCCCTACCATTGCTGTGCCTGGGGCTGTGCCAGTGCAGCAACGACCTTGTGTTCAGCAAGTGCCACTTTCTGAGCCCCTTGTGGGTTTAATACTGGGTAATTTATGTGACAAAAGTGACATGTGGAGAGAATGAATAAACCTCATCTGTCTCCTCTTCTGCTATGAGGGAACCCCCAGCAGTGCTGGCTCCAGTGCTGGTTTCCAGTAGCAGAACCAAACCCATCCCACAGTTGACATGCAGCAGGCAGCACCTGCACACAATGAGCAGTAAAGCATTTTAATGTCACCCAGTGACAGTGTTATTGTCCTCATGGGCTGGACTGGCTGGATGGCTCCAGGAGGTGCAGCCAACCTGGGCCCGGGCCAGCATTAATTGCCCAAATTAAAGTGTGTCGGGGCTGTGACCTGAGTTTCTGGGGCAGGTAACAGTCCTTGCAGTTGCAGGGAGAGTTCCCTTTTTTTCTTAGCAGTTTGGGATCTGGGATGAAATAAGTCAGGACCTTGGCTGGGAGTGCCATGGAAGGGGGATTTCTGGCACCCCTTGATCCTTGCAGCCTGCCCTGGGCAGGGGCACTGTGTCCAGAGCACCATGTGGACCTGACTGAAGCTGGTGGGGACAGGGGTGAGGTTCAGCCCTGCAGGGTCCCTGTCCTGCTGTCCTGGCACTGTGGGGCTTGGCTGTGCCTGGAACATCCAGGCCCAGGCTCCCACGGCACTGCTCCCACCCGGCTCAGTCCCTGCCCCTGAGCAGGGAGCCCAGGCTGGAGCCAAGCACTTACAGTAAAATGAATGAAACCCTTCCATGGCTTGGCCTTTTAACCCCAAATTTCAGTCCCCAGGCGTGTGATCCTTCACCTCGACTGCGAGCACTCATGCACTCCGGGTCAGCACAGAGCATGCCAGAGAACATGGCCCTGGGAGTGTGTGGCATTGGCACAGGAGAAACAGGATGAATCCTTGGAAAGCTCTTCCCCAGCTGAGCACCTGTGACTCGCTGCTGAAATCAAATGTATTTCACATCTGATACCACCCCTGGAGGTGCTCTGCTGCCACGTGTAGGAGTTGCACAAGGGGCAGGGGCCTCCTTGCTGGCAGTTCAGGTCTGGTCTGAAGGAGATGGGCTCTGTGCAGCTGTGAGTGACACCTCCTCCAAGGCCAAAGAAGAGCCATGGCTGCTCTGCCTCACTTGAGGCAGCATCTCACCATGCTGCCACCCCACCTGGGTCCTCAAGCACATTTCCATCCCTCAGTGCCTGCAAGATGCTCAATATGCCACGCAGAAGCCAAGGGCAAACCTCTCCTTGCCTCCACTGGAGCCACGGTTTTACCCCAGTCACCTCCTCCTCCAGAGCTCTCCCAAAAAAGGCAGAACAATAAAAAAAGCATTGCACATGATGAGCTGTGATCCACAGCGATTCCCACAGCAGTTTTATTGCCTGAAGGAGGAAGAACGTGAACCCTGGAGGGAAGAACTTGCCAAAGTATTTAACATTTCTACATCCTGCATGCAGCTAAAGGTTCCCAAAAATCTTTAAAAATAACTGCAGGAATATTTGTTCAGGGCCTAAGGCTGGGCTGAGCAGGATTTGAGATGTGGCTTTAGAGTGGGGGGCATGGGGGTGATGCTGGGGGCCTGCAGGGCCAGACCAGGCAGGTCCCTGCTGGTTGGGACACCTTTTTGGTTTGAGGGTCTGGGAGTGACTCAGTGGCAGCTGCCACTGGGCTGAGGGGAAGCTGGGTGGGTTTGATGCTCCTCTGAACATCCCACCTGCACTCTTAGGTCCCATGTCCCTTGTAGGGAGCCTGAAAACAGGGAAAACCAGTGAACTGTGCTGATGAGCTGGTGGCAAATGGTGTCACACACAGCCACCTCTCCTTCTTTTACAGAAATAATACTCTGAAATAATCCTTCTGAAAGAAAGGTGAAGTTGTTGTGGATGTTTTAACTGTCAAGTTACCGACACACGCGCCTGCTCCTTGGACGAGGCTGGGCTGGGAGATACGGGGGGACATTCCCTGCGGGTCCTGCGACGGCAGCTCCGGCGGGGCAGGGCTGTGCTGGGGGTGAGCCCGGGACGGGGGAGGTGAGCCCGGGGTGGGGAGGTGAGCCTGGTGAGCGCTCCCCCGCCCGGCTGCCTACCGGGTGCCTGGAGGTCTCTGTGCTGTCGGGCGCTGGCGGCCCCCGGGGCTCTGCTCTGCCCCGGACCCCCCCGGCACCGCGGCCGCTCCTCCGCTCCCCGCTCCGGGCACGGCCGGAGGCGGGCGGGAGATGGGCTGTGCGGGGACCGGGGCTGTGCGGGAGAGGGGCTGTGTAGGGTAACGGGGCTGCCCGGGGGTGACGCGACTGCCCGGGGGCCGCCGGTCGAGTGGGACCGGCCCCCGCCCCGCCGCGGCCGCGCTCCGGAGAGGGCGGGGGGGAAGATGCTGAGGCGGGTCCGGGTGCGGGGCCAGCGGCTGCGGGCGGACCCCGAGGGGCCGCGCAGGGACCCGCCTCTCCCCACCGCCCCCGCCGCTCGTCCGGCCCCTGCACCGGGGCTTGTGTCGGGGCAGGGGCCGGCGGAGACGCCGAGTGCCCGGGGAGGGGACAGGGAGGAGCCGCGGGGAGCCGCCACCCCGAGGACGGGGACAGGGACGAGGACCGGGACCGCAGGGCAGAGAGAGCGACACGGCCGGGAGGGGACACGCAGGGGACACGGAGCGGGGGAACACGGAGAGCAGGTGGGATATTGAGAGCCGAGGGGACACGGAGAACCGTGACGGGGACACGGCGAGAGAGCGGCGGGGACACCCGGCTGCCGCAGAGGGACGCGGTCGGTAGAGGCTCTGCCCACCCTCTGCCCCCTCTCTGCCCCCTTCCCGCCCCAGGCTCGATGCGGGCCGGCGCTGGCCATGGAGAAGCTGTACCTGGCGGGGAGCAGCGCCTGGACCATCAACAGCTCCCTGGGGAACGGCAGCCTCCGGCTGGAGAACCTGAGCGCCGGCAGGAACAGCACCGCCGACCCCCTGAAGAGGAACGAGGACATGGCCAAGGTGGAGGTGACGGTCCTGTGCCTCATCCTGTTCCTCGCCCTGACCGGCAACCTGTGCGTGCTGCTGGCCATCCACACCACCCGCCACAAGCACTCCCGCATGTACTTCTTCATGAAGCACCTGAGCATCGCTGACCTGGTCGTGGCCATCTTCCAGGTGCTGCCCCAGCTCATCTGGGACATCACCTTCAGGTTCTACGGGCCAGATTTCCTCTGCCGCTTGATCAAGTACTTGCAGGTAGTGGGGATGTTTGCTTCCACCTACATGCTCCTGCTGATGTCCCTGGACCGGTGCTTGGCCATCTGTCAGCCGCTGAGGTCCCTGCACAGGAGAGCTGACCGGGTCTCTGTCCTCCTCACCTGGCTGCTGTGCCTGCTGGTCAGCATCCCTCAGATCCACATATTTTCTCTCAGGGATGTGGGGAATGGGGTTTATGACTGTTGGGCAGATTTCATCCAGCCCTGGGGACCAAAAGCCTATGTCACTTGGATCACCCTCATGGTCTACATCATCCCTGTGTTGATGCTGAGCGTCTGCTATGGCTTAATCAGCTTCAAAATCTGGCAGAATGTGAAGCTTAAGACGGCTCATGGGCCCAGAGTGGGTCTGGGCTCAGGCTCCTGCAGTGGGATGGTGTTTGCCAGGGTCAGCAGCACCAGGCTCATCTCCAAAGCCAAGATCCGGACAGTCAAAATGACCTTTATCATCGTGCTGGCATTCATAGTGTGCTGGACTCCCTTCTTCTTCGTGCAGATGTGGTCTGTGTGGGACACCAACGCTCCGCAGGAAGGTAAGGCCTCTCCCCTCCCTCGCCCTGCCGTGCCTGGATGGCTCTGCTCGGGGCCCTGGGGACACCCACGGTGGAAACTCTGCTCCAAACTGGGTTTTGGGACTGGGAGGGAGATGGGAGAAAGTCCTGAACATGGGTAACCCCCCTGACAGGCAGCAGTAGCTGTGCTGGAGCTCTCCTGGGTCAGGGGTTACCTTAACCCTGGCAAATTCAGGGCCACTGCGCTCAGGGGTCAGGCTGCGTGGATGGTGGTGGCTGTCCCAGGGTGGTGGCTGTCCCTGGGTGGTGGCTGTCCCCAGGTGCTGCTCTCAGCTCTCATGGAGCCACCCTGGGGTCTCTGGAGATTCACTGGCCACACTGGGTGCTGGGGCACTCTGGGGACTGTGTGGGAGCTCAGGAGAAGGCTGCGCAGCCCAACTTCCCTCCCTTTGCTGTATTGTTTTCTCCTCACTGACTTCTTTGCTTTCTACTCCTTTGCCCTCTTCTCCTCCTCCTCCCGCTCCACACACCCCGGGACTGCACTGCTGTTCTTTCGCCTCTGACTAGAGCACAGTTCCCACAGAAAGCCTCTGATTAATGGGCAAAGCCTTTTCCTAAAAGATGTGGTGTCAGGGATTTGCCATTTCTTATAGCTGGGCTGGCTGCTCCTGTAATCCTGGAGGTTGCAGGTAGAATAAAGCATATCCCCCTCCCTGCTCTGACCCAGCTGGGTCTGTGCAGGTCTGTGCTGTCCCCCAGCGGAGCTCCTCGCCGGTCCCTCTGCCCCTTCAGGGAGAGCCACACGGGAAAGCTGAAACTAAAACTCTGCACAACTTTGTGAGGTAGGAGAAAGGACAGAAAAGTGTATTCGGGGATGAGAACTTGGATAGACTGACCTGGGCTCAACAGAAATACCCGGTCTGGGGATGCCAAGGAGTGAGGAGGAGCTGCTCCCTGCCAGCCCCAGAGACCTGCCATGGCACAGGGCTGTGCAGTGGGGGCACAGCTGCTCCCAGAGCCTGGCCCCTCTCACTGGCCACTCTGCCCTTCCTCAATCCTACTCCAGTTGTACCGTGTTCTATGGAAAACCCAGTGTCTCCTGCAGCCTGTGCACATCTCTTCCCCCTGGGCCGAGCTGACTGAGAGCCAGAGCCAGGCTGGCTTGTTCTGCCTCTCTGCTTCTCTCTGATCCTTTTATTTTGGAAGTGGAGTGTGGCTTTTTGAACCCCCCTGGATGCTCCAGGCAGCCGGTCCTGGGTTTTCCACCTGATTTAGGCTGATCAAAACTCGAGTTCCTAGATGGGCCCTGGGGTGAAGCGCTGGCTCTCCCGTGCTGTATTTCAATCCTGCAGTCTCAAGGGCTTCCCCTTCCTCAACAGCACCCAAACCTTCCCAGCACCCCAACCTCTGCTGCTTTACTGACCCTGCAGTGGAGTGGCAGTGGATGAGATGTTTGCCCATCCCAGCCTGCCTGCTGCACCGGGAAACATCCCTTGCTCATCCTGTGCCAGTGACCTTGTGTTCCCTTTCCCATTCCCTTTCCGTTTTCTTTTCCCTTTCCATTTTCTTTTCCCTTTTCTTTCCTTCTTTGCTTTGAGGTATCAAGGGAAGCTCCAGCCCCACTGAGCTGTACCACACTTCCCTCTGCACGTTCCTGTGGCCAGGCAGCCTGCGGCTGCGACACAGGGTGGGAGCTCTTGACACAGGGTGGGGCACTTGATGGAGGCTTTCGTGGTATGGGGAGGAAAAGCCTGGGGGGGTGTTATTGTGGATAGCAAGTGCTAGAAGACCCCAGCCCTTCGTCCCATGCCCTCCTCCTCACTGGCTGCCCAGAGGCACGAGAGGGGTGGCAGGGTCAGACCTCTCTGCAGAGGATGTGGATTTTGCCTGCAGCATTCCCATAGCTTTGCCTTGATCTCGGATCCCCTCCCATTGCCAAGGCTTGGGTGCTGTGGCTGGGCAGCATGGCAGGTGCTGGAGAGGTGGTGGGAAGGGAATGTGGCTGTTCCTCACCTCAGAGCTGTGTGGGCACAGGGCAGGGAGGGCAGGGGACAGGCAGGGAGGGGGTCGCTGGGTGGCAGTGGGGACACAGTTGCACCAGGGGCTGACCAGCACATCCCACAGGCTGGGGAGGGAAGTCACCTCCTTAGAAAATGTTTAGCTTTCTCCACACAGGATGTCAAACAGAGTCTCCCTGGCAAGGGAAGGTCTGTTTGTACCTGACTGAGCCCTGATGAGGGGCTGAGCAGGGGCCCTGCTGTCCTGAGCCTCCCGGGAGCGTGACACGCCGCAGAGCTCGGGCAGGAGCAGTGGGATGCAAAGTGCTTGGTCTGTCCTGGGTGAAACCTCGACACTGCTGGGGGCTGGGCTCCCACCTCGGCAGGATGCCATTGGCTGCATGTGCAGGGTGAGAGATTAGGCTGCAAAGAGAACAAGGGCAGTGCCCTCCTTTCCTCGGCAGCGAGGGGAGAACCAGGGAGGGCTCACCCTGCTGCCTCTGGCCGCTCTCCAGCCGCTTTCCTCACTTCCATAGAACAATGTCCCTAAATCAAGGTGAGGGCAGCACAGAGGCTGCAGCCCTGCCCAGGTGGGAGGCAGGATGGGGCTGGTCCCTGGCTGCTGCCCCACCACCGGCCCCTGCACCCTGGGACCGTGGAGCTCCCAGGCCTGGCAGCTCCTCTGTGTCCCTTCCCCGTAGCTGATGGGGCAGATGAAGGTTCCTAAACGTGAGCACCCAGCTCCTTGGAGCCCAGCTGCACTGCCAGGCTCGTGGGGCTGCTGTGTGCCCGGGAAGGGCTGGGGTGTGTCAGCCTGACGCTGTGTCCCTGTGCCAGGCAGTGTGATCCCCTCCTTAGGTGGCCACACACACTCGCAGCCTCTGTCAGGTGGGTTGGAGCCACGCGTCACATCCAGGTGGCAGTTTAAGCACCAGGGGTCCTCCATAGGCCACAGGTTGGAAGGAGGTTCCTGCTGCACACACCTTCCAGGGAACACACACGGCATTCTGAACTCGGAGTCAGAGCTGGCTCAAGGCACCCGGGAGGGAACAGCGAGGCTGTGAAGTGCTGTGACCCTTGTATTGTTCCCTTTATCTCGGGGTCTGGTGCCCTGACATGTGGGCTGGGAGTGATGGCCTGTGTCAGTGTGTGGGAATTGGGAAGCCTTCCTCATCCCATCCCATCCCATCCCATCCCATCCCATCCCATCCCATCCCA